TAGGTGACGGTTAAAACAAAAATCCTAAGCCTTAGCCCTCCGGGCAACTTGGTTCCAGAGTCAGTCCATGCTCTGAATAATTGAATTTAGAATGGCCCAGAATTCCCTGAAAGTTATGATTCCTCGGACCAGCCAACAGCTATCGGACAGTAAAGGAACTGAAAGCGATGAACTTGCCGCAAAATGATAGAAGTGCAAGAGCATTTCTTTCATCACCTTTTTGTTTCCATTATTCTTCCCTCTCCCCGTTCCTGCTATGGCGCATTCTACTGTCCTCCCGCGTAATTTTCAGGTGCATGTGCTTTCTATCGAACACGCTTTCGAAAATTGCACAATTTTGATGATATTGAAGAGGTTATTGAACTTCATCGAACTGCGCTTGCCCTTCTCCCCGTACCCCATCCTGCGAGAGCAACTTCTCTTGGAAATCTGGCCAACACATTGTTTGATCTACATGGTGATCTGGAAGACATAGAGGAGGCGATCTCGTTGCATCGTGAAGCTCTGGAACTTCATCCGGCTCCGTATGCAGATCGAGCCCAGTGGCTCAACAATCTCGCCCACTGTCTCGAGTCTGCCTATATCCACCAAAAAGATGAACAGTATATTTATCTTGGGGCTCAGCTCTGTGGGCAGATCGGTGGCTGTACATGCCACCTGGCTTCTCCAGAGTGTACAGCCACCAGTCTGCCCACAGAACTGAGCCTAAGACAAGTAGGTCGGCACGGTTAGCGGTGGTGGATGGATGGAAGGACGGAAGATAAGTAGTACGTACTTCAGTTCCTCGGTTCTAAAAGTTCCTCGGTTCTGACGTCCTGAAATCGTAGTAGGGCATCCATAACGATCTGGTACTGTAGGAGATCAATAATTGCGTCAACACCAGACACGTCTAGGGAGAAAACAGCACAGACCTGCGACCGAAAAAAAAACACAGTACGGCGGTGGCCCGTGGCCTGTGCGCTTGCGGATGCCCAAGTCGCTATTCCTTGCGTTGGAAGAAGCAAAGTACCAAGACTTGTCAGCGTCACACTGGATATCTGAAAAGACGAGAACAAACGAGGTGTATATATGTAGGTATAGGTAGGTATTCCGAGTCGGAAAAAGGTTATACATGAAGAAAGAGGCACTTACGACTGCCGCATTTGATTCTGAATGCAACTCCACCGACCAGCGACTGGAGCCAACGGGGCGAAAAGGTCGAAGGTCCTGCCTCGCGCCAATTAATACTTTCTTCTCCGCTCCACCGGTGGGAAATCGACGGGCCAGACGACATTCGGCATAGCGCTACGCCCCAAGCCCAACTGGAAACCGCACATACGCCGCCGCCAGCCAGTCCAACTCGGAGAATTCGAAGATGATGAAATGCCACTCGGGCGGAAATCGATATCAAGCCCATCCAGATAGATACATATATTGAGTCTTGTGTTTGATTGAAGTGGAAGTAAGTAAGCAAACATTCTGTTGTAGGAAGCCTCGCGCGAAGATTCTTCCAAAGAGCGCGAAGATTCTTGGAAAGAGCGATCCGGAAATAATCGCAGCTGAGCTTTCTGGGCGGGGAGCAATATCTACAGCGGAACTCCAGAGTCCAGAGCCTGAGATTCAGCAGTCTGAGCCAGGAGCCGGGTGAAACGAAACGAGCATCAGGATTCAGCGCCGGTAAGCCCAGAAAGTGTAAAAGCTCCATATCTGCACAGCAAAGATGATGACACTATTTGAGTTATATGATGAGCAAGGCAGGCACGAGAGGGGTGCATACTGTCAAGTATCACGTGAGGACGCAACCACAGGAAATAATTTAATAAAAAAAGAAAGCGCGACTTAAGAGTGGGCGTCTCCCATCCACGACAAGAACGTTAACCAGCGGGCTCAAAAGCGCGTAGACGGTGTCGCAGGCCGACCCAGTTCCCGCGAAGACGTTCAAACTCAGGGCTCCATTCCGCCGGTGCGAATACTGATACCGGCCAGAATCGCGTCCCAGCGTGCCGCGGCGCTACCACGCAGATACGACAGCCGGATGACGAAGTGAGGCGTAGACTTAGTTCGAACTCATCCAGCCTGTAAGTCTGGTGCTTGCGATGCAGACTCCGGAAAAAGATCCTCCAGTGTGCGAAATCGAGTACGTAGTTCTCGCAGCAGCGATCCTGAATCGCGGTTTCTGGCGCGCAATCGCCTCCCAGCACTTGAGATCTTGCAGCAGGGACATCAAACCCCCGATAAGTATCAATCAAGCAACAGTGGAAGAACTCGAAACGAGAGGCCAGACTCAGAGCCGCCAGTGCAGGACGGTGAAAGCGAAAGCAGGCAGTGAGGGTCGTTATGTATGCGACTGTTTGCCATGTCACAGCCCCGCCGGCTCTCGGGCCGTTCCGGGTTCAAACTCCGCTTCCCATTCGCCGCTTGGACCGGTTCTGTCATATAAATGTCAAATATCGACGCTACCATATCAATCCAACTGGGATACGAAAGGCCTCTTATGACGGGAGAACCCAGTCCGAATGCCACAACGGTCTCCGTCCGACTTTTTTACTTTATTTTACGCCTCAAATGAGTGGATCTCACTCGCACCCAGCTTGTGATGCTGAATACATTCAGGCTCAATCAGCCCGATAGACGACCCACTGGCGCAAAAGGCAGCGCGCCCACTGAAAATGTATCTGTTCTGAAGTTTCACGTGGGAGGCCCCAGTTCGAATCTGGGATGGGTTATGTGCGCGTTTTTTTTCGGCTTTTTCAATTAACTCGTTGAAAAGATCAGCACTTTTTCCAACTCGTTCAAATTCTCACTAGTGGGTGACTTTCCATAAGCATATTTTATTCTGGGGAATATCCGAGCTTCTTTGAGAGTGCCAGTGATGGCATCAATCGATTTAATCGCCGTTTTCTTATGGGAAACCCCTCAGATGAATTTATTTAGTCCAAGCTTTTTTACTTTTCGCTCCGAATTCGATTAGGATTGACAGCTGTTTGAAGCTCAGGTTCGTGCCAAATAACACGTCAACAAACACGCTCTTCCTTGCATACTCCTCGCACAATCCAACAACTATGGATCTTGATGCCCTGATACTGCTTCAACACAATGAAGAGAATGAAACACAGTGAGTACGGACACAATTTTGTGGTCTTTATAGTACAGAGGTTCGGACTCGTCAGCGAGGGATCGGGTCAAGTAGACTTTTGTTGAGAGGGAGACTGCCATAATGGATAGCAACATAGAGCAGGAATATATAAATCGTTTCCAGAGAGTAAGCCGGAAGGGAGCTATCCAGCCCTGGCGCAGGGTCCGGCGGGCTGAGGAATGTCGTGGCAGAAGAGCGGAGGTAAAGCCGATGATGCGACCAGATGTGACACGAATCCCAATTGGGAACGATGATGGGAGCAGCAGCCGGATTCGTTATATTCTCATAAATGTTGAGGATATGAAAGTCTGTACAGGGGGTAGGTACCCCCTCTTCAGATTTCTATAGATTTGAATAGATCTGCATTAAATCGTGTACGTTTTTAGCACATCAAATTGATGGGGTCCTGACAGCTGACTCGGCATCGCGGCGGAAATGGCTCAGATATTCCCTCAGAATATTTTATGCTTATGGAAAGTCACCCAGTTATGGCTGTCGTACAGTAGCGAGACATTTTAGTAAGAATTTATTTAGTGCGGAGAAGATATTCTCTACGAGAGGATTCTGCACGGGCATAGCTATAGATTAGATTTTAAAGCGATTCCCGTCGTTCTATTTGCTCTGAGCCTTCCCACTGCCGTATAATAATAGGGTATATCCTCGGGCTCAAATTCTACGAATCAAGACCTAATGGAAGAACCCTCTGCAGCTCAACCGAAATGCTTCGGCTTGTGTGATCTTTCCGCGGCAGAGAGAACCCAGTTCGAATCTGGGATCGGTCCTGATTGGTCTATCACACGTTTTTATTTAGCTTCAAGATCTCAGAGCCGGCTGATGATATTGTATTTATTCCGGACGAAATTATACCGTATTTTTTGCAGGCCAAATAATATGTAGGAGAACCCATTGACGCAGAAGGGAGCGCACCCACTCAAAATACATGTTTCTGTGCGGGAATCCTCAGTTCGAATCTGGGATGGGTTATCCGCGGTTTTTATCGACCTTTTTCGTTCCCAACCCGAAATGATCTGCGCTCACCCCTGGAATACATAAGGCAATTTTATTCACGGTGGAATTGGTGTCGTTGCGAACGGTATGTGGTACTCGAAACTAGTCTCAGCCGGTGATTGCCGAATGCGGGTGTATTCGGACAACAACTTACTCTTCCCACGGTTCCTTTCTTCCTCCACCCCCATACATCTCTGATTATGCCACAGTATGGCGACAAGAAAAGCTCAGAGGTATTTGGCCGGGGCCCCAAGAACGGTCATGTTTAAATTTCAAACATGACCGCCGTCCACATTAATACATCATGCTCCCCAAAGCTTTCTCTCCCTTTCTCGCCCAAGGAGATTGTTGTTGTGCTGGTGGAAAATCCCCCGAGAAAAGACCATTTTTTGTGAACGACGATTCGGTCTTCCGTACCTGAATTTGTGGATTGTGCCGTGAAACAACTTTGATACCTGTAGCTGTGAAGGAAAAGCCGGTTAATGTTCGTTCATTGAAATTACTAGCATATTCACGCCGCGTGCGACGCTCTTCAGCCGTTGCATTTTATTCGAGCAAATCACTGCGTTCCGTGGCATTGTCGGCAGCGTTTGAAAGCACAGCCCGACATTGCCTGACAACTGCCGACCAGGGTTAGCCGAGGGCGTCGGCACAGAATGGCCGTTGTCAACCGCGTGCTGACGCAGGTCGGCACACGCCAGTATTTGTACGGCACAGGCTGCCGACACAGCCTTGGAACGCAGTGAATGGGGCACAAGCTGCGCAACAATTTTTTGTGCCCAAAAAGCTGCAGGAGGTCCCAGTTACAGCAGTTCTGATGTGGTTCATAATTAGGGCGGTGCGATCTTTTGTTTATTACAGTATTCCTTCAATTTGAGACCCATTGGCGCAGAAGGCAGCGCACCCATTCGAAATAGATCTGCTGTAAAGCTTATCATTGTGTGTGTGAGGCCCCAGTTCGAATCTGGGATGGGTCGACGTCGTTCTGCATTACCTGACATATATATTCGTGTTCAGTTGATGCGTTTCAGTAGTGGCGCTCAACTGAGGTGTACCAGAGGCGCGCCTTAATTCGCTATGTGCATTGTTGAGCAGCCAATTTATTCGGACTCTGGGATGGATTACGGGGCCGGTGCGCTTTGAATTTCATTAGATTTATTTCATCTTTTCTCTGGGCCTTTCCACTGGTATGTGTATATTCGAGCTCAAATCCTGAGTATGAAGAAGGCCTATTGGAAGTAAACACTCTGAAGCTCATTCGAAATGCTTGGCTTGCGGGATCTTTCCATCATCAAGTGGCAGAGAGAACTCAGTTCGAAGCTAGGATCGTCGAATGGTGTGTGTTTATTTTATTCAGGCCTCAAAATCTCACACCGGCTGATGGTAGGTCATTTACTCCGAGTCAAATAATGACGAATTTATTCGCAGTTGAAGTAAATATGCCAATCTGTCTAACCGCATACATGCTGCCTTCGCTGCGTCGACGAGAAATGTAGGCATTCCAAAAACACGCAAGCGTCTCGTGTTAATAATCTCGATGAGAAGGGGGTGTGCATGCGCGCATGGCTTCAGAAATTTATACTTACCGTTGGGGCTCTGGGAAACTATCGGGTACATAAAAGCACAATGAGCGAATGATAATATGCACTCATGCGCAGGCGGCCTTTTGGACTCATGAGACCGTTAAAGCTAGAAATATCGCGTACTGTGTACAAGATGCGATTGAAGACCTCTTCAAAAGGAGTACATAACGATCTTATGAGGCGGGAGTACGACTGAGAAATGCTATCGCAATACAAGTTTACTTGAACGCCCTCTGCGCGTGATAATGTTCAAGACCAAAAATTAAGGCCCTACCGTCGTTGTTTTTTTTTAAAAAAAAAGACAGCCTTATGGTACACAGCTATAATGGAACGCACCGAGTTTCATGCTTAGCCCATTAGTATCCTCGCCTCCGGCTCGTGGGCCCACTCGAGATGTCTCCGCAAAAAAAGGTCAAAAAATAAATATTATTATCGGCGCAGCTGGGCGAGCTCCACGTGGCGGGAGAACACTACTGCTGAAGGGAGAACACCGTTAAATTTCTAGATCGCGAGGGTTTGTTATTTAGCACAAAGGAAGGGAGGAGAACCAGCTGATGCATCGGCCTAGGCAATCATACTAGGCATTCGGCACATCAATCAATAGTCATATGGATCTGCTACTGCTCAGAATTTTTTGATACACCATGACGGGCTTCGTCGAATAGCGGGCGGCGTTGGATGCCATTACCTTTGCCATATCCGGATTGAACACTACGAGTCCGTTTTTAAAAAGTGCCGTCAAGACTGTGGTCGTGTTGTCCCCATTAAGGTATGTGGTCGTGAATTGCAGCTTTGCAGTATCGTTGAGGATTTTTGCAACCCGGAACTGCAGCTGGTAAAACATGTACATGAGTGCCACTCGTCATTAGATCATGTAATTGGTGCACACATTATACTCATATCGCCTGGGGCCAAAGGTGAGAGTAAACGTGGGATGGCTTTCGCCTCTCTCCTGCCGGAATACCATCTGTTCGTTGTCGCCAAGCTCCGGGCGGAATTCGATCACAACCCGATCCTGCAGAACCTTGTAATATTCCACTGGATTTGAATAACGAATATTAGTCCAGTTGTGAGTCGCCTCGTGGCTATTATTGTCCTAAGCATCGTGCAGCTAATTGGAGCGTTATTGAATGACGCACTCCAAATTCTCTGGCTCCCTGTGCTGGCAACAGATAATATCGCCATCCCTTAGCTGGCACTGGGCCGATAAGAGGTTTGGGCGCAGGGCCACAATCATCCCAGGTTTTGTTTCCTTAACGAGGCAACGTGCTTGTCAGGATTTGGTGGTGCCATATTCCGAAGCCTACCTTGTAAAGGTTAGTCGGGTGGTCGGGTTCCCGACGTATTATTCGGTTCACGGCATGTAAAAGGTCCCTGACGTTGGCGCCTTTGGAAATCTCAATTGGGCCTATGCCAGTTAATCTTGGCCCGAGGCAGGACACCCGGAACTCTTCCAAGAAAATCAAGGTAGACTGCGGAGGCGGAGGTGCCTTCAAGATGGGAATGTCAGTTGGATACCAGGGAACCTCAATCACGAGTTGCTTACTTGGGATTGTAAAATTTGTCAAAATATAGTCGACGTCAGCTGGATACCAGGGAACCTCAGTCACGAGTTGCTTACTTGGGGATCATAAAACTTCCCAAAATATAGCCGCAGAGTACTGTGTCCGCCACCCATATTGGTCCGAATCCACTCAACGGCTGAAAATAACCAGTTGGAGTCTGCACCAGAGACAAAATAGCAACACTGCTTACTGAGTCCCTGACTACTCTCAGGAAGGGGCGCGTCCGGCCGTACAGTGCCGTTTGGCCGATTCACAAAGACGCAAAAACGATATTGGTTGGGGGGGACTTTGTTGAAGTCGTACAACTGTACAATACGTGTCTTAAAGGTCCCAATAGTCTCCTCTTTCGGCACGTGGAAGATGAGCAAATTAGAGTCTTCGAATGTTGACAGGTCGAATCCCTCATAATCGCCAAACGTACGCCCTGTGACAACCTAGAACATATATGTGAGTAGATTCAAGACGATGTTGCCAGTGCTACCTGGGCGGTCAAATAGTCTTCTGTCTCTGTGACCACATGTTTCTCCCGGTTGGGATACTGCTCTTCTGTAAAATGACGAGAGTATTAGTTTAATGCAGTCAACAATAGTGGATGTAATGTAAGACTGACGATATGGGACCCACGGAGATATGTCAGTCGCAGCCTGGGGTACAGCCACGCTCGGATTCCTACCTCCATCCACGCCGAGCCCCTTGTCGGCCCCTGTGCCAAGTGTCATGGGCTGTTCCAGAGGTCTCCTCGGTGGTGACGGCGACGGCGGGAATGGGGGCACTGGTGCTGCTGGCGGGGCGTTTGTGGAATTATTTACGTTTAAAGTCAAACGAAACGGAGCAAAAACGGGTTTTAACCATTCGCGAACGGTCGCAAAAGGAACTGAATGGAGTGTTACTGGTGCATCTGGCTGAAATTGTTCTATATGCGATATTAGAATCATAGCGGCACAACTGCGCCAAAACCAACGTACGAGAAGTGTGTTTCATGGGAGGGTTACTTTCTGAGACTATCTTTGACTCCGAGAGTGGGCTCGTCGGTTGTCTGATGAGGAGAACCTGGATCGTGTCATGAACCTGACTTGCTGTGGGTTGTGCTTTGGGATCCTTATTCCAACATTGTTCTGCTAAATCCCATATCCCATCATTCATCCTCGGGCACTCGTCCCCTTCAGGGCGCAATGGCCTCGCACCAAACTTGAATACCATTTCGATGAAGTCGCCGTACAGAATGCCTGACAGTGGAATTTCTCCCGTATAAAGCTAAGGCGAATTATTGGGCGTGAAACAGGAGTGATGGAATAATTCGAACCTCGTAAACGGTCATCCCAAAAGCATATATATCGGACGGCATCCGCGGCAGCGATCCCGACAACAGCTCCGGCGCCATCCAGTTTCGACTGCCGGAGACGACAGTATCGCTCAGCGATCGGGTTCGACTGGTAATGTCCGCCTTGATACGGGCGAGCCCAAAATCACACAGGAGCGCACGGCCGAATTCTTCGACCAGAACATTGATCTATGTGAGCCGGTCGGTCAGAGAGCAGAATGGATCGGAAATGATCAGTGGACAGACCCCTTTGAGATCCCCGTGGCAAATCTTACGCGAGTGTAGATATTCAAGACCAAGGGATATATCCCGAAGCTAAATGAAGTTGAGGACTGGTTCACGCACATGGGGCACGCACGATATGTAAAGGCTCAAAGTCCGGCCGTGCGCGCAGAAATTCGGGGGCGTGATACGGTAGAAGTGGCATCACCACGAAAGGTCGATCATCCATCGTGTTTGCGCCAAGGAACTGCAAGATGTTGGGATGTCTGAGGGTCATCCATATCTAGCAAGTTCAGTGAAACCAACGGGTTAGATACAAATATCGAATGATGGCGCACATCGAGTTCCTTGCGCAGCAACTAAGGATATACGAATGTGTAAGCAGAGGAGATCCAGAAACGACTGATTCCCTCACCGTAGAATTGGCAGATACACCAGAGTGATTATGGACCAGCTTGATGGCGACTGCGGTCCGATTCCAGGTGCCTTTGTACACGGTGCCACTGTGGAGTTCAGGAACGGAACAATATGCAATTATTCCCAACTCACAAGCCGCCAGAACCAATTTCCGGGCCGTAGTCAACGTCAAACGAAGAGATCATCCAGTCTTCGAGATCGATTTGCTGTCCGCTGGTTGACCTCAGATAATGCAGGGCGTGCGAATAAAAACCGCGTTCCGCGTTGTTCTCATGCTGCCGGTCCAGACGTCGCTCTATAGAAACCATCATGGCAAGGACATTGCTCTGATTATTGTCTGCGATTAGATTAGGACTTAAGGTGCGCATGACAATAAAGAAGAGCACAAACCAAGCGCGCGCCTCAGCTCTGTCTGGTTGCGCTCCAGCGCGCTGAAACGTGCCTTCAAGGCATCCGCGTCGCTAGAGCGTGCGCTCTCATTTTGAGCGAGCATATGTTGAACATTCAGCAGTGCCGAGATGTGAAAACCACCATTCAGCGTCTGCAGTATATTGTTCACGGAATTACACACTTGGAATGAATTGACCATCACCCTGATGCGCTGATAAAAGGCTTCAATATTAATAACAATGGTCTCTCTCTTCAACAACGACTTCAGGAAGCCGCGATCTTGCTGTATCTTCACGAATCGATGGACATCGTCCAGGAGGCTGCAAAAGGAATCAGTATTTCACCATTAGCCAAATGAACAAGAAATAGCCTCTCACACTCTGAGGTCCATGAGCGGCTGCACACAAGACGAGGCAACGAGCCTCGATGACTCAAATTCACGCTGCAATGTCGCGAGAAGCTGTCCAATGGCATTGGCA